CCCCCCCCCCCCCTGCCGCTGGTCCCGAGCTCCGCTGTGCCCGGTGCGAGCCTAGGACCAGCATGGGGACTGTGTGACAGGAGAGTACACGATCTCCCTCCTGTCCCCTCTACGCAGTCAGAATGCGGAAGTGATGTATATGACATCACTTCCACATTCTGCTGTCACTCTCCAGCTTCAGACGCTGGAGAGAAGCTGATGAAGCAGATCTGGGCTTCATCAGATTCTTTGGGTGGTCTCTAGGTGACATTAGGGGTCTTGGAGACCCCTGATGTCCCTATAAAGAGGACCCGTCATATCCTCTTTGCTATCACATAGGGGGTTTCATAGCCCCCTATGTAATAACAATAACGTTAAGTAAGAAAAACAAAAAAGGAAAAAAATATTAAAGTTGAAAAAAAAATGAAAGCCACACATAAAAAAGAATTAAAAAAAACCACAAAAATGTTTTAAAGTCCCCACCCATACATACACGCAGGCAAACATGCGTCGGGTGCGCATAGAAGCGAAAACGACGATTGCGCACATGTTACATATTGCCGCGAACGTCGCAGTGAGAGCAATAATTTCAGGGCCATCAATCACCGATAACACTAAACTGATGAGCGGTAAAAGCTTCTAAAACGTAACCTATGGTCAATTTTGGGTATGCTCGTTTTTTGCGATTTCGTGGGTGTGCGCAATTTTATAGCTTGACATGTTTGGTGTCTATTTACCCGACGTAACCCCGACTTTTATATTTTACCAAAAAAATATGGTAAGAATAAATGTTTCCTAACAATGTTTTAAAAAAAACTTTTTTTTTCAACATTTTCCGCAATTTTTCCTTAATATAGTAAAAAAACTCCAGAGAGCACGTCTCCACTTCTCTGGAGTCCAGTGGCGGTGTGCTTTACACCACGGCATCCCACGCTTTGCATTGCACTTGGTGATGTGAGGCTTGGATGCAGCTGCTCCGCCGTGGAAACCCATTCCATGAAGCTCTCTACGCACTGTTGTTGTGCCAATCTGAAGGCCGCATGGAGTTTAGAGGTCTGTAGCTATTGACTCTGCAGACAGTTGGCGACTTCTGCGCACTGTGCGCTTCAGCATGCGCTGACCCCGCTCTGTCATTTTACGTGGCCGACCACTTCCTGGCTGAGTTGCTGTTGTTCCCAGTTGCTTCCACTTTGTTATAATACCAGTAACAGGTGACCGCGGAATATTTAGTAGCCAGGAAACGGAACACCTGAATCCAATTATTTTTTCGAGGGGGAGGGGCCCAATACTTTTGGTAATATAGTGTATGTATACAGTATATCTCGTTTGGAAACATAGAGGGTCTCCTGAGCTCTGTGACAATGATCCAGAACTTGAGGTACAGAGATATTTTACACCCTGATGGGAATTGCTTCCAAGATTTGAAAGCAGGGGTAAGGATATGACCTGTCCGCTCAACATTCCCAGAATTGTGTCCATATGTTTATATATTAAAATTCATACTTCTGTTCCTGTAATGTTTGTGTATTTAGTAAAAGGAGTTCTTGGACCATTGGCACGCATGACAAGACTGCCTTCACTTTGCTTTCCAGGTGTGCATGTGTCAGCAACAGTTTGGACGATGGGAGGACGGAAAGCAGACGCCGCTCCCCTGCTTTCCTGGGCAGAGCGGTCCCCAGATTACCCGCAGCTTGCTGGAGATTGAAGATACGTTCCAGAAGAGCCTTCTCATTCTCAAGTCGGTGAAAAAGACCATACTGGACGTGAAAAATACCACCTGGCATGACAACTATAACAGGTGACTATAATAGTCTATAAGTCCAACTCTACTCTAAGCAGATCACTCCACAGCGCACCCCCAACCCCCCCACCACCACCACCCATTTGGTATTTTACCAAACTCTATGGAAATTGCCACACCTAGCCTTTGAAAGAGGGAAGAAAGTGCCCAATTCCTCCATCCATCCATGTGTGCCTCTGTCAATATACTTGATTCCTGCCTGCAGCTGATTGGCTGCTGCAGTCACTGTTCAGCCACAAAAGTCAAATTAAAAACCTACTTTTGTTAAATGGAGGGGGTACCATCGGGGGCCACTGTCTGCTCCAATTTTGGCTGGGTCAGCAGGAATGAAAATCAAGCAGGGTATGACCAGCTTTGTCGTGAAAGCCTCAGGCAAGCTAGAGGCAGATCAACAGCCGGAGTCACAGGACAGGTCATAACCAGGACAGCAGGCAGGATACACAGAACAAGATGCTCCGGAACACTGGAATCATTTGTTTTCTCATTGCCTCAGCACATTAGGCAGAATTTGTTTCTGCCTTTGGATGATGCCACAGGCGTGCTCACATCATTTAATCTGTCAGTGTAGGTAAAAGCCTAAATTCAGCATGCACAGCCAGAAAAGGAGTTGGAGATGGCAGGCAGGACTGAGGACTGGTGCTGCCTACAGAAGGGGAGTAGGTGTCACTTTTTCCTTACTTTTTTTTCTATAAGGATTCTCAAATCTGTTTCCTGAAACATGGTGACCTATATAGGAATTCTGAGACTGCTTTAAAGTAGAACTTTGTCCAGACTATGGGCACTCAGATTAGATATTTGATTATATGAGCCCATACTGTCCTTCATAAGGGGGTAAATAAGCTTTAAAACAAGCCCTTACTGACCTCTGTAGCTGCAAGCACTATGGAGAAACAAGCCCTTACTGACCTCTGTAGCTGCAACCGCTATAGAGATCAAGCCCCTACTGACCTCTGTAGCTGCAAGAACTATCAAGATACAAGCCCTTACTGACCTCTGTAGCTGCAAGCACTATGGAGATCAAGCCCTTACTGACCTCTGTAGCTGCAAGCACTATGGAGAAAAAAAGCTCTTACTGAACTCTGTAGCTGCAAGCACTATGGAGAAACAAGCCCTTACTGACCTCTGTAGCTGCAAGCACTATGGAGAAACAAGCCCTTACTGACCTCTGTAGCTGCAAGCACTATGGAGAAACAAGCCCTTACTGACCTCTGTAGCTGCAAGCACTATGGAGAAACAAACCCTTACTGACCTCTAGCTGCAAGCACTATGGAGAAACAAACCCGTACTGACCTCTGTAGCTGTAAGCACTATGGAGAAACAAGCCCTTACTGACGACTGTAGCTGCAAGCACTGTGGAGAAACAAGCCCTTACTGACCTCTGTAGCTGCAAGCACTGTGGAGAAACAAGTTCTTACTGACATCTGTAGCTGCAAGTACTATGGAGAAACAAGCCCTTACTGACATCTGTAGCTGCAAGTACTATGGAGAAACAAGCCCTTATTGACCTCTATAGCTACAAACACTGTGGAGAAACAAGTTCTTACTGACATCTTTAGCTGCAAGCACTATGTGGAAACAAGCCCGTACTGACCTCTGTGGCAGCAAATACTATGGGGGAACAAGCCCTTGCTGACCCCTGTAGCTGCAAGCACTATGGAGAAACAAGCTCTTACTGACATCTTTAGCTGCAAGCACTATGGAGAAACAAGCCCTTACTCCCCTCTGTAGCTGCAAGCACTATGGAGAAACAAGCCCTTACTCCCCTCTGTAGCTGCAAGCACTATGGAGAAACAAGCCCTTACTCCCCTCTGTAGCTGCAAGCACTATGGAGAAACAAGCCCTTACTGACCTCTGTAGCTGCAAGCACTTCGAAGAAATTAATCCTCAAATTCTACAAGTCACTGCTGCCCCCTCGCAGCTGTGACTTGACCACCTCCCAGTCTACTAATATTTATTCAAACACAGAGTAGGAGCAAAGGAAGAGGGGGAAGCAGAGTGCTGAGACCCCACTTGGATGAATTCACTGCTTCTCTTGTAAATGTAAAGATAATCTACTCCACAGTGTCTTCATCTAGAACAGGGGTAGCCAAACTCAGGCCCTCCAGCTGTGGTGGAACTACAAATCCCATGAGGCATTGCAAGAGTCTCACAGCCACAGACATGACTCCCGGAGACAGATGCATCATGGGATTTGTAGTTTCGCCACAGCTGGAGGGCCGGAGTTTGGCAACCTCTGATCTAGGAGCTCAGTGCGGGCTTGTTTACGGCTTGTTAAGAATATGTAAATGTTTGAATGTCCATCGCCTGGCCGCGCTTCCGCTTTCCCGCCTTCCAATAGCAGCGTAACAAATGCGACAGTCAAAGCGAATCCATCAAACGACTCTTCATCTTGTATTTCCGCTCCTTCTCCGCACTAATCTCCATTTCACACTTAACACAATACAATTTTATTATTACATCTGGCAACGTTATGAAAACTAGTGGTGAGCACCAGCGGAGATCTGCTCGTTGTGGGAGAGCGCCATCTTCCTTCCTCGGATGCAACCCATCGGTGGCTGAATACAGGATAAGTAATCATTTGCAGGGAATCGCGGTCCCGGAAGGCTTGGAGTATTATAGACGGCGTGTATTGTTTTATGGAGAAGCCCCCACAACCCGAAACATGGTGAAGCAATGTGTGAATGAAGAGAATAACTCGCCGAGGAAATTTTGCATCTCCATCATTCAGCTTCTTCTTCTTATTATACAATAATCTCACCTAAATCTCCTCGGTGTTTCCAGGGACCGCGGCTTCCTCCGGCTTCTCTACAAATATCCAACTACCTTTCCCAAATGTCCCCCGTGGCTTAGTACGGCCTGCCGCTGTTGTTCTTCCTTTTTTCTCATAACTGTCACTTACTTATTAAAACAGATGCAGAGATGCACGTGGCTAATCTCCTCAATGTATTATCTTCTCTCCGCAGCTACTCCACAACGCTCTGCAATTACTCAATGATTCTCCATAGCTACCCATCAGCTCTCTCACCTAGTTATTAGCTCCGTTACACTCTGGGGCTAAGCAGATTATCAGTTACTCTCTCCAACTACTCAACTACTCCCACCTAGATATCAGCTATCTGCAGCTAATCAATTACTCTCTCCAACTACTCAGCTACTCCCACCTAGATATTAACTATCTGCAGCTAATCATTTACTCTCTCCAACTACTCCCACCTAGATATCAACTATGCAGCTAATCAGTTACTCTCTCCAGCTACTCCCACCTAGATATCAATTATGCAGCTAAATAGTTACTCTCTCCAGCTACTCCCACCTAGATATCAACTATGCAGCTAATCAGTTACTCTCTCCAGCTACTCCCACCTAGATATCAACTATGCAGCTAATCAGTTACTCTCTCCAGCTACTCCCACCTAGATATCAACTATGCAGCTAATCAGTTACTCTCTCCAGCTACTCCCACCTAGATATCAACTATGCAGCTAATCAGTTACTCTCTCCAGCTACTCCCACCTAGATATCAACTATGCAGCTAATCAGTTACTCTCTCCAGCTACTCCCACCTAGATATCAATTATGCAGCTAATCAGTTACTCTCTCCAGCTACTCCCACCTAGATATCAACTATGCAGCTAATCAGTTACTCTCTCCAACTACTCCCACCTAGATATCAATTATCTGCAGCTAGTCAGTTACTCTCTCCAACTACTCCCACCTAGATATCAACTATCTCCAGCTAATGAGTTACTCTCTCCAATTACTCCCACCTAGTTATCAACTGTCCACAGCTAATCAGTTTCTCTCTCCAACTACTCCCACCTAGATATAAACTATCAGCAGCTAATCAGTTACTCTCTCCAACTACTCAGCTACTCCCACCTAGATATCAACTATCTGCAGCTAATCATTTACTCTCTCCAACTACTCCCACCTAGATATCAGCTATCTGCAGCTAATCAGTTACTTTCTCCTGCCACTCATCCTCCACCTACTCAGCAGCTTTGTGTTGATCCAAAACTCTCCCAAGCTACTCAACAGTTCTCGCCACCTTTTTAGAAACCCTCCAGTGTTACTCCAAATCTCTCCCAGGCTACCCTCAACTTTTACTCAAAAACTCCCCTAGAACTCCCAGCTATTCAAGAACTCTTATATGTTACTCAAAAAAAAATGTTCAACTCTCCCCATGTGCTCGTATACTTGCTATAGAGAATCAATCAACAATAACTCTCTAATTATCGACTTTCGCCCACAGCTTTCTCAAAAAGGATCCACAGCTACCCTCCATCTCTTCCCACATACTCAACAACTGTCTACTCCTGATCAGCAACTCACTGTTCTCAACTGTTACTCAAACTCTTTCCACAACTCTTCCAAGCTACTCGGCAACTTACCGTAGCCTCTCATCAGCTTCGCTCTTCCACTCAATACCTCTCTACTGTTACCCAAAAACAGTTCTTAGCTAATGGAAAACTCTTCCAATTTACCCAAGTTCTAAAAAATGATCCAGTGGCTCAGCAACTTTTCCTGGCTACTTAAGAAAACTGCTCATGCAATGAAGACAGCTGACCCTGCTACTCGAGATGTAGTCAAGGCATTTCAAACTGCTCTGTTGACACCTTCTCAGGGGCTTTCTTGGTATCTATATATAGTAGGGGTGCACTGATACCGGTTTTTCAGTATCGAGTACAAGTACTGATATTTTGCTGTCGGTACTCGCCGATACCGAATACTGAGTACCGATACCAGTGCTTCCGCTGGCATGGAGTCGGCTTCCCGGGCAATCAGGAAGCCAGGCAGCAGGTAATGACACGCTGGCTGTTCGGCAGGCTCAATGCTGATTGGCCGGGAAGCCGGCTTCCCAGCCAATCAGCATGGCGCCGGCTGTTCGGCAGGCTCCATGCTGATTAACTGGGAAGTCAGCTTCCCGGCCAATCAGGAAGCTGGGAGACGGGTCATTACTCGCCGCCTGGCTTCCTGATTGCCCTGGAAGTCAGCTTGATGTTGCCTACGGCACTGCTGGTCAAAGGAAATCTTCCTCTGACTGGAAGTTCTGGAAACGGGAAAGGGATCGGAGCAACTGGGCGAGTACGAATACTCGCCCAAATACTCGGTATCAGCACTGATACTAGTATCGGTATCGGTGCATCCCTACTATATAGTCCATCTCCATCACTGGACCTCTTCGCTTGGATGCTCTAGATCTCCATTACTCAACACAGCATCTCACATCGACTCTTGTCCACTATTCACCCACTCTCTAACAATTACAAAAAACAATGTGCTCCAACACTCAACATCCCTTTGCTACTGGTTTCTTAGTGGTTGTGATCACATTGTTCTTCTGTTCCCCAAATCCAGGCTGGTTATCGGGTTATGACCTTAGTTTGTCCTTTGTTTACTGTTGCCTCTCTGTCTTCCTGAATCCCACCTGCCCTGACCTATGAGGTCAGGCTGATAATTCACTGTTCATTTTGGTTGCCCACAAGCTTGTCAGCTTTTGCCAGTGAAGAATACCCAAAGGCCTTTACTTGGGAGTATTATACAATGAAATCTGAACCTCATTGTAAGGTTCCATGCTGAGAATGGGCAAGTTTTTTATCCACCTTCCTCCAATCCACCTGCCCTAACCTTTGACTTTCATGCTATGTTTGCGGCTGACAATTCAGTATTCATTTCAGTTGCCTACAAGCTTGTTGGCTGTTGCCAGTGGAGAATACAGAGAGGCCTCTACTTGGGAGCTTTATACAATGAAATATGAACCTCATAGAAAGGTTCCATGGCGGAGAATGGGCACTCCTTTATCTGTCCGTCTTCCTCATTGCCACCTACCCCGACCTTTGCCTTCCAGACTATGCTTGCGGCTGACAATTCAGTATTAATTTCAGTTGCCTACAAGCTGTTGCCAGTGGAGAATACCCAAAGGCCTCTACTTGGGAGCTTTATACAATGAAATATGAACCTCATAGAAAGGTTCCATGGCGGAGAATGGGCACTCCTTTATCTATTGGTCTTCCTCATTGCCACCTGGCCTGACCTTTGCCTTCCAGACTATGCTTGCGACTGACAATTCAGTATTCATTTCAGTTGCCTACAAGCTCGTCGGCTGTTGCCAGTGGATAATTCCCAAAGGCCTTTACTTGGGAGCTTTATACAATGGAATATGAACCTCATAGAAAGGTTCCATGGCGGAGAATGGGCACTCCTTTGTCTATTGGTCTTCCTCATTGCCACCTGGCCTGACCTTTGCCATCCAGAGTATGCTTGCGGCTGACAATTCAGTATTCATTTCAGTTGCCTACAAGCTCGTCGGCTGTTGCCAGTGGATAATTCCCAAAGGCCTTTACTTGGGAGCTTTATACAATGGAATATGAACCTCATAGAAAGGTTCCATGGCGGAGAATGGGCACTCCTTTATCTGTCCGTCTTCCTCATTGCCACCTGGCCTGACCTTTGCCTTTCAGACTATGCTTGCGGCTGACAATTCAGTATTTATTTCAGTTGCCTACAAGCTCATCAGCTCTTGCCAGTGGAGAATTCCCAAAGACCTCTACTTGGGAGCTTTATACAATGAAATATGGCCAACAATGGGCACTTCTTTGAGTTTGTATCTGAGGATAGAACTCGTTATTGGTCTTCACTAACCTGTAATAATTCTGTAACAATACCAGCTTCTCAACAGAAAAATGTTTTTACCATTTCTGATTCCTCTGCCCATCCAAGCGTTCCCTGACTGCTCGGTGCACCTGTCATCCGCTCATAACACCGTTTCAGCCGTCCAACTTGTCCCAGCTCTCCCCATGCTACTTAATGCTTTCTGCTTGCCCAACCTTGTTCCTGATGTTACTCCAAGAACCCGTCCATCACAAGCTGAGCTCTTTATTTCACTTTTTAACCTTGGCACTGCGTTCCATGTAATCATCCCAATAGTTTCCACGTTCTACCTCCTCATCGTGTCTCTTCCCACAGATTCCGAACCGGCGTGAAGGATCTGGAGGTGATGATGCAAAATCTGATCGTGACAGCCTTCGAGACGGTGCGCAGCGCAGAGCAGGGTGTAGAACTGCTGGACGTCTTCCACCATTTTTCAGCCAGAGAGGTGAGGTGCTACCAGGAGAAAAGAGCCGGAGCTGCAGTAGCTCCATGAGGGGCGCAGGGGCGTAGAGGGCAGCAAATGGACCAGTAGGGAGTGTCTCAGGGGCAAGTTCATGAGGCACTATAGATCTCTACATGCATGTACAGAAGAGATTGTGTCCCTTCTGTACTGTAAGCAAATTCTGTGAAAAAGAAAACCACAAATGACATATTCACCTGATAAAACAGAACCCCAAACTCAAATGTTAACATGTTATAGATGATCTGCAGGCATATCGCTGAATACACAGTTACAAATTCATATATAGGATCTGTTTGGGCTACCAAAAGATTTGTATCTCTGTCCAATCAGCCCCAATAACTGAACTGGTCAGTGTTTATTTCCCTCTTACGTTTAAAGTCGCAGCCCACCCAGAAATAATATTCAGTGCACCCCTAAACCGTACTTGTGTTCCTTGTCCTCCAGGCCATAAAACGGACATTTGATAAGAAGACGGTACGAGTGTACGTATTGTTCAAGAATGAGCTGGATCTCGTCAACAAGGAACTGGGCAGAAAAATTCCGACCGTGCCACCTCACATATGTCGCTCCGCCGGACAGGCGCACTGGGTGCGGGCTCTAAGACGACGCATTGATCGGCCAATGCAGGTTAGTCATGTGTATGTCAGGGGCTCATATCAGTTTGTACACCAGAGGAGCTTACACTCTAATGTCCCCCCACAGTCACACACTATTATTATACAGTTATATAGCTCTGACATATACCGCAGTGCTGTACACAGAACACTGAGCCAGTAACATCCGTCTCTGTACAGAGGAGCTTAGACTCTAATGCCCCCCCACAGTCACATCAGTCTCTGTACAGAGGAGCTTACACTCTAATGTCCCCCCACAGTCTCACACTATTATTATACAGTTATATAGCTCTGACATATACCGCAGTGCTGTACACAGAACACTGAGCCAGTAACATCCGTCTCTGTACAGAGGAGCTTAGACTCTAATGCCCCCCCACAGTCACATCAGTCTCTGTACAGAGGAGCTTACACTCTAATGCCCCCCCACAGTCACATCAGTCTCTGTACAGAGGAGCTTACACTCTAATTACCCTCTAATGCCCCCCCACAGTCCCATCAGTCTCTGTACAGAGGAGCTTACACTCTAATGCCCCCCCACAGTCACATCGGTCTCTGTACAGAGGAGCTTACACTCTAATGTCCCCCCACAGTCACACACTATTATTATACATTTATATAGCTCTGACATATACTGCAGTGATGTACAGAGAACAATGAGCTATTCACATCCGTTTCTGCACCAGAAGAGCTTACACTCCCAGGCTCTTTGTAGTCAAGGGGGCAGTGTTGTTTTGCTGGCGGTATGAATGTGGAGAGGGAATGGGGAAGAACTGGGGCATAGTTGGAGTTCTGGAGACCAGCGGGCAGAGCTGACAACACTGTTCAGGATTTTCATGCATAGATGGCACTGTGTTGTCATCCCAAACAGGAAGTTAGGAGCTCTCTGGATTTCTGGCAGATCAACAGGTATCTTTCTCTACTTGTAGCCTTTTAAAAAGGAATATACAACGGGGAAATGCCCATGTATTGGAGAGATGTGCTGCTTATGTATCTTTTTTTCATTTTGAATGCAGCCAGAAGACGGCTGTATAGATTGCATGGCAGTACTGCACACATGACTACATCACATGGAATACACGGCAGCCCTCATGCTGTTTGGCATATACAATGGTTCCAGAGAACGGACGGCAGCCTTCCCAGTATTAATAATACAAGCAGAATTGTGGGTCCCGCATGTCTGCGAGGGAGATTAGCATAGGCGCTTTGTAAAATGAAATTGACATTGACAGCAGATCTCTCCAGAGTCCGCAGCCAGCGACGTGTTCTGTGTGTACACGGCTTGTACCGCACACAATGCTGTTCCTGGTGGTCCTTCTCATTACATTCTCTCATTTTACTGTCCTCCCTGTGGAGACCAGGCGGGGAGCCGGGTGATCTATGCAAATCCAGGAACTCCGTGGATCAGAGCCAGCAAACAAAGGGAGAGGAGGGAGAATCTCATGGAGGATAGTAAATGTGGACGGGGGAGTAGAAGAGGGCCAGGTTTCAGCTTAGCGATGAGCCAAGCCTGGCAGCGATGGGATCGCAGGTTCAGGTTCCACCGGGGACAATGCCTGGACTGACTCGCTGCGGAATGCGTCAGTGCGCCAGTGAATAAAAACAAGGTGGATTCACAACGCTTGCATTGCATTTACACATTTATATGTGTTTGAGGTGACAACACAGTGCATTTGATGCAATGATATCTCAAGCTGCGTTGTCAGCCCTGCCTGCTGGACTACAGTACTCCAACTGTCCCCTGTTCTTCACTGTCCCTCTCCATCTGCATACATTGATTTCTTACCCATGCTCCTGGGCTACAAAGAGCCTGAGGCATTAGAGTGTAAGCTCCTCTGTACAGAGACTGATGTGAATGTGGGGGGGGGCACATTAGAGTGTAAGCTCCTCTGGTGCAGAGACCGATGTGACTGTGGGGGGGATATTAGAGTGTAAGCTCCTCTGTAAGGAGACTGATTTGACTGGTTCAGTTTTCTCTGTACAGTGCTGCAGTATATGTCAGAGCTATATAAATGTATAATAACAGTGTGTGACTGTGGGTGGGGAGGGGGGGCATTAGAGTGTAAGCTCCTCTGTACAGAGACTTGACTGGCTCAGTGTTCTCTGTACAACTAATTGTCCTCGGTGTCACGACCTCTGACTCCTCGTAGATCCTGGCCAGCTGCCATATCATGCCCCGCATCGGAGTAGCCGAGGAGATCATTCAGGAGTACCAGCAGCTGGCACAGAAACTGGACGAGCTGGTGAGGAAGATCTTCTCGGAATGGTCCCAGTCGGCGGACAAGCAGGCCACGAAACGCCTGGACATCCCGCTGATGGTGCGCAGCAAGGAGAAGGTCGGGATGCTTGACGTGAACTTTGATAAGTAAGTAGAAGACATTGGCGTGGGTCTGAGGGCCGGCTGGACCTTCCTCTAACCTGTGTGCTCCTTTTCCAGGAACGTGTTGAAGTTGTTTGTGGAGATCCATTACTGGGAGCGGCTACAGTTTGAGGTCCCCCATTATGTGGTGGACATTTACCAGCGACAGGAGGACCTCCGAAACCTGCGAGAAAATGTTCTCCTGGTGGTGCGCGCCTATAACAGGTGAGCAGTCTTACATCGCCATCTTGTGGACAAAGCTGATCATTTCAAGGCATCTGGTTCTCTTCCAGATCAATACATTTTGTTTTTAGATGTTTCAAGTAAAAGGGGTAATGCGAATAGATACCAGATTTTAGCGCAAAGGTTGGTAAATATCAAGGAGATACATTTGCAGTACTTAAATATAATTCAATTGCATGTAATTCAAAATCAGGTTTGTTAAAGCTAAGCATGCACCGATACTAACATCGGTATCGTTGCCGATACCAAGTATTTGGGCGAGTACTCACCCAAGTGCTCCGATGCCTAGCCAGATACTTCCGGTATCAGGAAGCCAGGCAGCGAGTCATTGCACGCTGCCCGGCTTCCTGATTGGCCAGGAAGCCAGCTCCATGTTCCTTCGTCACTTATGACGAGGGAGCATGGAGCCGGCTTCCCGGCCAATCAGGAAGCCGGGCAGCATGTAATGATGAGGTGGCCGGCTCTCTGATTGGCCGGGAAGCCGGCTTCATGCTCCCTCGTTATCTCATGACGAGGGAGCATGGAGACGGCTTCCCGGGCCAATCAGGAAGCTGGGAGCCGCTTCCTATTGGCCAGAAAGCCGGCTCCATGCTCCCTCGTCACAAGTCACAACCCTAAGCATGGGGACGGCTTCCCTGCTTATCGGGAAGCCAGGTGGCGAGTGTTTACATGCCACCCGGCTTCCCGGGAAGCCAGGTCGTGAGTCATTACACGTCACCGGACTTCCTGGGACTGTATTCAGTAACGGCGAGTACCGGAAAAAAAATATCGGTATTCGTACTCGATTCCGAAAAAACGGTATCGATGCATCCCTAATTAAAGCCAGTGACAGGACAAGGTCCTTAGCAGCCAAAGCCAAGGTGCGCCCAGACCATGAGCTATGATCTACTTTTGCGCTTCCCTCCTGCTGAAGCTGCCAAGGCAGCCGCCTCTTCTGCCTACCCGGCTGCACGGGCCTGGTTAGAACGTATCTGTTTGCCTGAGGACGGGACCGCATGGTCTCGAAGCGTCGCTAAGGAGATGTGTGTTATCTCAGTCAATAAACAGCATTGACTTTAATATCATGGAGTGCGAGTGACTACTTTAATCTATCTACATTTCACGGAGGCATCCGTTGTCACCACCGCACCCACCCAGTTGGATTTGTGTTTTTGTCCGGCCAGGAGTGCGATGGGACAGGAGTATGATGCATTAATACCTGCTGCTAGTGTGTTTGCACACACACAGTGCTGATGCACCTATCTCGGGACAGCAGGCTTTTTTCATGGACGCCAAACATTCTAATTTCCAGCATGTGTCAGAGTGCCCACTTACATTGCTAGGCTCCATCAGAGTGCCCCTTTAGAATGTTTAACCCCATCACTGCCTCGCATTGCGGCCGCCTCTGGTAGTTTGATTCATGCTTTTGTACTGGTACGTGCTGAACAAATCGGAACATGTAAATCCTGTTTTTTAGCAATTTTCTTAATTTTAACGGTGAAAAACTGTTGCACTTTGCTTTGTAATATTGTTAATGGGTGGTTTGGAAGGTTAAATTACGATCCTGTCAGGAAGATTGCAGATTATCACAAAGGATGTCATTGTGCAGCTCAGAATACATTCCCCCCATTGCTTTCTCAACTGATCACTGAGATAACTTATCTCAGCCTTTCACAGCTGTTACGTGAGATAAGTTTTCTTTTCGCAGGTTATTAAACAGCCTCTGTGCAGCCGAGAAAAACAAAGAGATCTGCTGAGTAAAGTTAACTCGTGATAAAGCTAGTTTTATCACAGTTTATTAAACGTACACCTAAGTTTCTTCTGCCTACCCGGCTGCACGGTCCTGGTTAGAACGTATATTAAAGCGAGATTTTAAGAAATGAACACTTACAGTTATTTTCACTTGGTCCCACCTATAAACCTGTCCCTCCTCTTTCTTTCGTGGTCCAGGATCATAGCGACTCTTTCCACAGAGGAACGTGGCCTGTTCAGGGAAAGAATCCGTTTCCTAGATAAGAAGATTCAGCCGGGGCTTACAAAGCTACACTGGTCCTCTAAGGGAGCATCGACTGCCTTCATCAATGACTGTCTGCTGCAAGCCAGCAAGGTGAGCACGCTATGAGGGATTTCCAGCACACAAAAGCCACATATAGATGATATAACATCATTGATACATCTCCCCCGGTGCTTTAGTTGACTTCTCTTCTTTGTACTATCCTCTCCTTCCAGATCCAGCAAATTGTCGACAACTATAAGGCCTCCAACTTGAACATCTCGCGCTGCGCCCAGACAATCAGCGAGTCCCTGCTGCTTCAAATCGATGGAAACCGAGTCTTCCGTTATCTGGAGTTCCAGGACGCACAGGGGGAACATCGCCGGGCTGTACAGAGACGTCTGCAGAACCTCCACGAGGAGATCTGCTCCCTCATGAGGACCACCTTTGAGGTTTTCAAGGCGGACGGACCTGAGGTACTTTAAGGCCCGGTTCACACCTGGGCGTTTTGTAGCGCGTTCCTACGCTCTGCAAGACGCTCAAACACCGAAATCCCATTATTTCCTATTGGTATGGTTCACACCTGGGCGTATTACAGGCCGTATGAACGCGCTACAAAACGCCCTACGCCCAAAGAAGTACAGGAGCTTCTTTGGGGCGCATTTGCCGCGCGTATTCGATACACCTTGGTGTGAACCCAGCCTAATATTGTCCCCTTTGGTTTTGTGTACTCAGAGGTTTATCATTCTCTGCACAGAGATCAGATATGGATTGTTTTCCTATTCAAAACGCACATTTCCTGAATTATCCATTTAGAGCTCTACATCAAGCCTGTCATGCAATGGAAGCTTTGCCTGCTGTAGAGCTGTAGGTCTTACCCAGCGGGGGGGGGGGGGGGGGGGGGACGTCTTGTCCCCCCTAACATTTTTTATATTTGTGATGTATTGCCCTGCTAGTAAAATGTGAATATGTATCTTCTGTCTGCTAGAAGATTTGTATCCTAATATACTTACTGCTAAAAAAAGTATATATTTAGAGCGTCTGCCTGGCAAATGTGCTGTCTCATGCATCGTCACTTCAAAAGATTGGTATCCTGATGTACAGCATCCCTTAAAAATTTAAATCTTAATGCACTGCCTATCTGGGTGCTATAGATATCCTGATTTATCACCTAACATGCACATATAAAACTGTATAATTCTAGGAATAGCAAAAGAAATACTGCTGCAGTTGCTAATTTCAATAGAATGTTGTGAATGGGTAAAAATATATTTATGATTTGATAAAACCGTGTCAGATACATTTCTTATATTGTACAGCCCAATTGCACTTATTTTTATACATGCCAGCTTTCTTTATCGAGATATCAAGTCCATGTTATACAATATGAAAGATAATGCAATAAATCTGTGTATCGTGCAGTTTTTGGCTCTTTCATAGATAACTCATTTTCTTAAGAAAATAGGATTTTTGTACTTATTCTGAGACAAATGTGTCTCAGGAAGAGTTGGACATGGGCAAACATAAAAGTAACTGGCCAGCAAGGTATATCCCCTGCCACGTCCAGCATGCATCAGTTTTGTAGAAAAACAGTTCGGGCTGGGGGGGGGGGGGGGGGGGGGTCAGACCTTTGCAGAGAGACCACTGCTTCTCCACAGTGAGCAAGAGTCCTCTCTACAGCATGCTGACAGGGGAAGACTTTATTACTCAGGCTGTGACTGGTGTCTAAGTGTAAACTTTGATGCACCAGGAATGCATTTACGGTAGTTGATTATACAGAGGACACAATTGGGCTTTAGGCAGACTGACACTTGGTTTTTACCTTCCATCACTTTCCTGTGAGTTGAGGGTCAGCACTATCCTCACATCCTATCCCACGTATTTCCTGTATAATAAATGGAGCATTAATATGACTGTCTCTGCAGGTCCAGCAGCACTGGATGTACTACACAGAGAAGATAGACCGTCTGGTGGAAGAGGCCTTCAGACTCAACATCAAGTGGTCTCTTCAAGAACTGTCCAAGGCCATCAATGGAGACAGCAAAACCACCCCAAGTCCTCTCTTCCGGGTCATGGTGATACTACAGAACGACTTTCCTGGCTCCACTGCTGAGGTAGTAGAGCCGTCACCTTTCCCTGGGTGCTGTCATTTAGAATAATTCTCCGTATATATTCCCTTTAGTCTACACAATATAGAAATATGAGAGCTTACCTGTAGAGTTGGAGTCGCAGGGGGTCAGAATACCTCCAAAACAAGTCTGCAAGAAAGTTCTCCAAATCTGCATAGTTTTTCAAGGTCAGCCATAATATTCTCATTTACTATAAGGCCCCATTCACACTGAGCGACATGAAAATTGCGCGATTTTCCGAGCGATTTTATATGAGCAATATTGAGTGACTTGTCGCGCGACTTTTTCCTATTGGGCTGTATGCAATCAGGAGCAAAATCGCTCGAAATCGCCGAAACATATCGGCCAAAAATTTTACTTTTGGCATAATGCCGAAAGTGCAATGTTCTGGCCGAAACATCTGTGCATCCGTTCTTTCTCTCCTCCCCGCTGGGCGCTGCTCTGTGTCCCAGCGGGGAGGATAGAAACTGTGACAGGCGGCCGAGCGCTGCGGGGGGGGAGAGCGCTGTGAGCGGGCGGCGTCTCTCCTCCCGGCACCGCTCAGCCTCCTTTCACAGTCCGGCAGAGCGGTGTGTGGGCGGAGACAGCTGTCATTGCTGTCACAGGAGGCTGAGCTCTCCTCCCGCACCGCTCGCCCAGCCTCCTGTGACATCTGTCAGCGAGGAGAGCGGTTACAAGCAGTCGGTGATCAGTGATCGCTGAGTGTTTGTACATAATTGAGGACATAGCATGTTTACTAATATCCTCAATTATGAATTGGAAGTGATTTACATCCCCTCCTGTTCATTCATGATTGTGGTTATAGTAAACATACTCTGTCCTCATGTTATCAATGAACAGGAACACTCAGTATAGAGGATTCCTGTTCATTGATAGCAGGGGCGGCGTACGGCCTCCTAGTCCCATAGAGAGGGACGGGGGCTCCGTACTAATCACACACAGCACCTGTCCTTCCCTGGAGCTGCCCGATACGGCCGTGCACGCCGCACGGAGCTGTACGTGCCGGCCGTTTCTCTGTGAATGAGGCCTTAATATGTTGTGCCTGTACAAAACTACCCCCCCCCCATATGAGGCTGTCTGCACGAAGAGATTGTGAAAACACGGCTGCAGCCATCGCAATGTATACACATACACCACAACCCGTGACTGTCATTTTGTAGAGAAGTAAGATGCTGAGAAAATGAATTGCACTTGAGAAAGGTTTCTTCTTCCACTGATAAAAATTGGATTACCTGGGCAGAAATTATCGACATTTTTTGCAACAGTTGATTGGTTTAAACCCCAACTCTTCTGTTCTCATTTGAAGTATAAATAAAGTTTGGGCTTGAGTGTGGCTTTCACCTTCTAGGCTACTGAAAGCCGAAATATCAGATTGTGTGAAGTGTCTAATATCTGATGTCTTCCTTTTTGTCTGATATTCTCTTCTAGGTGGAGTTCTCACCCACGCTGCTGCAGCTAGCCAACCTTGTGAGCAGTGTCTGTTCAGAGATTCTCATCGCGGTTTCCAGCTTCCAGCGTCTCCCGGATATTCTGACCCAGAAGAACTCTTTGCGGGACCCCATACACAACATCCTAGGTGAGCGGAGCCGGCAATAGTTACTGCAAATTTTATACAGACCTTGCAAACTGCTGAGGTGCTGGAAATATTGTCCTCATAGAAGAGTCATGTGTATTCCTTCTGAATCTTGGTGAGCTCGGTGTATTTCTTCCAGATCTGTGCAGTAATCCCGTGTGAAGTTTCCTGTAATAGAGACCCGTCACTACTGCTCACTGTCCTTGTGCAGGGTGACCGGTCTTGTCTCTGCCCCCTCCTGTAATACAGACCGGTACCTGCTGCTTTCTCTCCTTGTGCAGGGTGACTGGTCTTGTCCCCGCCCCCTCCTATAATAGAGACCGGTCCCTGCTGCTTTCTCTCCTTGTGCAGGGTGACTGGTCTTGTCTCCGCCCCCTCCTATAATAGAGACCGGTCACTGCTGCTCTCTCCCCTTGTGCAGGGTGACTGGTCTTGTCTCCGCCCCCTCCTGTAATAAAGTCCGGTCACTGGTGCTCTCTCCCCTTGCGCAAGATGGCTGGTCTTGTCTCCGCCCCCTCCTGTAATAAAGTCCGGTCACTGCTGCTCTCTCCTTGTGCAGGGTGACTGGTCTTGTTATATTTAAATGAGTGGTAAGGAAATGAATCCAATGATTTGGAGGGGTGTCCCAATACTTTTGGTAATATAGTGTAGGTTGAACTGGATGGACCTTGGTCTTTATTCAACCTTACATACTATAATACTATGTATAATAGATAAAAATGTTCGATGAAATCATTATTTTAGGACCATGTTTCACAGACTAGTATTTCTTCACCTTCCAGAGCGCGATGAGGAGATCAAGAAGATCCAAGCCCTCATCAGTGGGGGAATGGCTGCGAATGCCACCCTTCTCCAGGCCTACCTGAAGACATGGGACACCTTCCGAATGATCTGGGAGCCCCAGAAAGACACCCTGATACGCCGCTACCAACGCCTCAACCCCATGGTGTCCGCGTTCGATGCCGACATTGCTGGGCCAAATAGAGCAAAGTACAACTGTGGTGTTATTTAGTTGCCTCCACTCCCACTAGGTCTTATTCTTAGCTTCCGCCCCAGTCGAGCAATCTTTTGAGTGCTTCCAGTTACTCCACCTATATCAATCTCTTTTCTTGACAACCAATTTTCCAGGTACACAGAGCTGGCGAACAATGTCCAGAAGCAGGAGACCGTACAGAACATCCAGTTTGTCATGCTGGACTGCAGCCAGCTCAAGTTCGCTTTGGTCCAACACTGCAACGAGTGGCAGAACAAGTTCACTGGCTTACTGCGATCCATGGCTACCGAGAAACTGATGGAGCTGCATGCTTATCTGCGCAACAATGGGGAGCGGTGAGTGGGCCCTGTCTGATGAGGTCACCAGTCTGCTCTCTCCTTTTATCAGCATGTTTTCTGTCAGAACATTTGTATACATCATGTCTGGTTGACTCCCAGTCCTGCCCCTCCCTCTCCCAGTCTGAATGCTGCTCCAATGGGGATTGCAAGATTCAGTCTGGCAGTGGAAGCTGGTGCCTGCTGCTGTAATGCCCTTTCTCCATTGACTGATGGGGCCTTACACTTGTGGCTCCTGTACAGGAAGCTGTAACAACTCTGATCCCATCTGACAACTGGGAACTAATCAGTGTGCTACCTGATCATGTGATCACTATGTCAGCTATGACATAATAAGCACATGCAGGCTGGAGGGTTCATTGCATGGCATATGCCATTGCAGCCTGAATCTGGCAGTGTCCATCTATTTAGTACTGTAGTTGTCTGATATAATTACAGTATGAAACAAAATAATAGTAACAGTTAATAATGGTCTTTTAGATTTTTATACATTTGGCAGCTTTTAAAACAAAAACAGAACACGATGTCTATAGAAAAAGTGTACCAAATAAAAGCCTTATTCTGCAGGGAGCCGTGAGTGACAGTCACGGCTCTCTGCAGGGACACGATCGAGAAGTGAGCGAGTGACGGTATGTGTTCCCTCACTTCCTGATCTATTGAGTCGACGTGTGACAGTTTAATTGTCACACGTCGGCTCAAACTATGAGGTTGAGTGAAAATCACTCACCTCATAGTTCTCCTTTAAGTATCAAACTAGTCATGGAATTATCGTTAAGCATTTTGCTTGGGCAACTAGGCATCGGAGGCATGCCCTTTGTATCCAGCACCATTTTCTAGTCTTCTAATCTCATTTCCTATGTATGTATGTAGGGTGATGATGTCCCCGCAGACCCTGGAAGAACTGGCACAGAGCCTGGCCTTGTACGACACCCTCAAGGGCGAGCTGTCCAAGGTGGAGAGTCAGATCATGCCCATCCACGACCAGTTTGAAATTCTGAAGAAGTACGAAGTTGCTGTGGAGGAATCAGTGAGTATTCGCAAATACAAACAGGCTGAACCAAAATGTATTTTTCATGGCTTGGAGCATAATTTGTTGCAATAGATGCAGCAAGTGCTAAGGGATCAGCTGCTGTCACAGGTGAGGCAACCATTAACACAGGTGAGATAGCCACCAACACAGGGGAGGCAACCTTTAACACAGGTGAGACAGCAGCTAACTCAAGTGAGACAACCATTAGTACAGGTGAGACAACCATTAACATAGGGAGACAGCCACTAACGTAGGTGAGAAAAGCATTAACATAGGTGAGCCAGCTGCTAGCACAGGTGAGGCAACCCTTAACACGGGAGACAACCATTAGTACTGGTGAGACAACCATTAACACAGGTGAGACAGCCGCCAACACAGCTGAAAAAACCATTAACAGGTGAGACAACCATTAACAAGGGTGAGATAGCTGCCAACACATGTGAGACAACCATTAGCACAGGTGAGACAACCATTAGCACAGGTGAGACAACCGTTAGCACAGGTGAGACAACCGTTAGCACAGGTGAGACAACCGTTAGCACAGGTGAGACAACCGTTAGCACAGGTGAGACAACCGTTAGCACAGGTGAGACAACCGTTAGCACAGGTGAGACAACCGTTAGCACAGGTGAGACAACCGTTAGCACAGGTGAGACAACCGTTAGCACAGGTGGGACAGCAGCTAACTCAAGTGAGACAACCGTTAACACAGGTGAGACAACTTAACACAGGTGAGACAACTTAACACAGGTGAGAAAGCCATTAAAACAGATAGCCGTTGAGACAGCGTTTAACACAAGTGAGACTGCCACTAACACAGGTGAGACAGCCACTAACACAGGTGAGACAGCCATGTTAGCACAGGTGAGACAACCGTTAGCACAGGTGAGACAACCGTTAGCACAGGTGAGACAACCGTTAGCACAGGTGAGACAACCGTTAGCACAGGTGGGACAGCAGCTAACTCAAGTGAGACAACCGTTAACACAGGTGAGACAACTTAACACAGGTGAGACAACTTAACACAGGTGAGAAAGCCATTAAAACAGATAGCCGTTGAGACAGCGTTTAACACAAGTGAGACTGCCACTAACACAGGTGAGACAGCCACTAACACAGGTGAGACAGCCACTAACACAGGTGAGACAGCCACCAAGGCTGACCATACACCTGTCAAATTGTTTCATTCAGCCCGCGGTCTGAAAAGAAGAAATTTACGTGATTCCTCCATCAACACAAACAGCGTGTCGATCGAGGAATCCCGCTGTTTGCATTGTATTCTGACAGCTGCCATGGCCACCTGTCAAAATACCTGATCAGAGCGTGCAGCTCATTGGCTGTCGGCTCTGATCGTATGAAGATTTTCCTGCCGCCTCCTTCAATCAGCTGATCGAGGAATGTTGGCTGAAAGGATGGCGACATTTGGCCAGTGTATGGTCACCTTTACATAGGTGAGACAGCCAATAACATAGGTGAGATAGCTGCTAACGAAGGTGAGACAACCGCTAACACAGGTGAGACAGGTTGGTGGCGTTTCCGTATGTCAAAAATCTACACTGCTCATGCACAAACGAAAATACGTGCAGTCGATTCGTCCAGGTGCTTTTCTTTATTTAGGCCTAATTGAACCTTGCGATAATCGGGGCATAATGGGGCCGCTGTACGACAATCGTACGACGGTTTAATCGTTGGACGAAAAGTGTTGTACGATAATCGTAAGGTGTATGGCCACCTTTACACATGTGAGACAACTGCTAAAGGTGCCCATACACTGCACGATTCTCGTACGATAATCGTGCAGTGTATGGAAGGTGTGCGACCGTTTCTAATGTACGGTCGCACGACTTTTGTATTTCGAGCATGTTGGAAATCCACCCGAGAATCGTACGATTTTCGGCTGGTTTTTAACATGATCGAGAGATAACAGCCGAACGGGCCGATGTGCGCACACGCACACTGCCCGTTCAGCATTGCAGTCATCGGAAGCCCGCCCCTCAGGGGGGCGGGCTTGCGATGATCGCAAGTACGATCTGCCTGTCCAAGATAGGCAGATCGTACGTTTTTTTAAGTACTTTACAACCCTCACAAGACAAAAGTCTTGCAAGGGTTGTAAAGTGTATGGGCACCTTTACACAGGTGAGACAACCGCTAACACAGGTGAGACAACCGCTAACACAGGTGAGACAACCGCTAACACAGGTGAGACAACCGCTAAAACAGGTGAGACAACCGCTAAAACAGGTGAGACAACCTGAAATTTCACGAGATTTTGCAGTTTACAGATGAGATTTCCCAGGAAGGCACTGGTGTTGTATCTTTCCCAGGATTCATCTGTGAGGCCAGGGCTACATCACCAGTGCCTCACTCAACCAGGAAGAGGAAAAACTGTAATTGTAAGTAAAAGCAATGAATGTTTAACCAATGAATGCAAGATGATGATTGTATATAGTATGGAGATGTGATTGTTAGTGAAAGGGGGCAAAGGTTCACTTTAGGGTGTTATCATCCCTAAAAATGTTATAAATATCCAGAAGAAGAGAAATTTGAATATCTATTATTAATAGTGGTAAAGTTATTGGAACTGAACTTTCAGCTAGGGCATTAGTAATTCAGAAAATCAAGCATGGGTGGTTCATCGCGCTTAAAAAAGTTCTTTCTGATTGGCTCAGGTCCTGGAGACGCTGGACTCCCTGAACAAAGCCTGGCTGTCGTTCCAGCAGAGTCTTATTGACAGCGAGACCATGCTGAAGAAATCCAAGGAGAAGTTCAAGACTGGTCTCATCCACACCGCTGAGGAGTTCAAGAAGAAATCACGATCTCTGCTGGAGGACTTCGCTGGGAGAGGTGAGACAACTCAAAAAAAATAAAACAATTGAACTAAGAGCCAATTTTACTGTTTTTTTTTTATTTGTGCCGAATCAAACTAAAGAGCAGACTTGTGCATGGCACCATGACAGAAAATATTCACAGAAACAGACACAATTATTCCAACCCTTGTCCACTGGCCACCAAAATGCCCTTTACATTGGTGGCCAGTGGACAAAATGTCTCTTACATTGGTGGCCAGTGGGCAAAATGCCTCTTACATTGGTGGCTAGTGGGCAAAATGCCTCTTACATTGGTGGCCAGTGGGCAAAATGCCCTTAACATTGGTGGCCAGTGGGAAGTAGAGCTGCCCAGAACTATGCAGATCCCATCATATTGTAGGTCAGGGAGCCACAACTCAAGGGACCCCGTAGCAACCTATGAGGCAACCCCAGGCCTCCACAGACCCGTAGGTAAGGTTGGCTGGGTGGAATGATTGTTTCTTCCTAATCTTCTGTCTTCTCTGCAGGCCCTTTCTCCAGCTCGGTGGGATGTGAGCCGGCTCTGGAACAAATAGCCACATTCCGTCAAATGATGAAAACCCTTAAAGAGGAGGAAAATACCATTCGCTCTGGACTCAGCATGTTCAAGATCGAGCAACCGCGCTCTAAGGATATCCAGGCCCTGGAAAAGGTGGGTGAGAAAGCAGATAGGGACTGAGCACAAAAGATGGATTGAGTTCAGGTAGTGGGAGTTGGATTCTAAACCTCTGACAAGGAAGCCGTCCAGTTTCTTTGTATCATCAGGGTTCTTGTGGTGGCCCAAATGTGGAGCCTGGTGCATAGCAGGCACGTGCAGTCAGGGGAGGCAGAGCCTTACCTAGTATTATGAAGAAAAAAAGGTGTCAGCTTCAAGTCTGAAGCTGACAGCTTTTTCTCCATTCAGATCGGCTTCTATCAGGTTACACAGCATGGAAATCCTCCCCGCTGTGTAACCTGTCATGGAAATCCTCCCCGCTGTGTAACCTGTCATGGAAATCCTCCCCGCTGTGTAACCTGTCATGGACGGAGTGCTGCCTGTTAATTACAGACGGCGCTGCATCAGGCTTTTATCAGGTAGTTAGGTTACACAGCAGCGGGCTTCCCCACTGCTTGTGCAACCTAACTTGGTGAGGCAAGAGCTGTCACAGCCTCTACTCTGTGTTAGAGGCTTGAGCTCTGTGGATGGCTTGGATCAATGGCAAAGTGCCATTGGTCAAAGCTGTCCAATCCAAAAAAATAACTGAGGCCATCGATCTCAATGCCTCAGCAGTGACTCACCGGTGACGAGCAAGTGAGGGACAGGGAGGCTGGGGGCGGGGAC